GGGGGGGGGGGGAGAAGCACCAAGCACCGCAGCCACTGGGAGGGGCGCCCCTGGGGGCACTCACCGCGATGCACTGCCGCATGATGCAGCTCTGCTTCATCCGCCCGGGGCCCCCGAACTTCTTCATGTCCTTGCAGAAGTGGCACTCTCCACACTCCGTCCGCAGGCAGGCCTCGCACTTGCGGCATCGCGTCCGGCGCCGGCGAGCTCCCGCCGTGGTCCGGTTGGCGGCCAACTTCACCGCAGAGGCGGGGCCCAGCTTCCCTTTGGGCCGACCTACGGCCCGGTTCTGTGGGAGCACACACAGGACTGGTGAGATGGGGGCCCGCAGGGCCGGCCAGGCCCTGAGTCCGGGGGGTTATGGGTTGAAGTGTGTTCACCCAAAAGATACGTTGAAGTCCTAACCCCACAACCTCAGAACGTGACCTTACTTGGAAATTGGGTCTTTACAGACGAAACTTTTAAAATATGGTCACTAGGGTGGCCCTAATCCAATAGGACTGGTGTCCTTGTGAAAGGGGTAAATTTGGACACAAGCACAGAGAAGCCTTATGTGAAGACACAGAGAGAAGACGGCCATGTGCCTGGAGGGATGCCGCCATCTACAAGCCAAGAAACGTCAAGGAAGCCAGCAAAAGCCAGAAGCTGGAAGAAGCAAGGAAGGGTCCTTGCCTAGAGCCGTCATAGAAAGCTCCGCCCTGCAACACCTTGACTTCTGACTTCTAGGCTCCAGAACTGTGAGAGAATACGTTTGTTTAAGCCACCCAGTTTTTCTGGTTTTGTTTTTTTTTAAATTTTTATTGGAGTATAGTTGCCTTACAATGTTGTGTTAGTTTCTGCTATACAGCAAAAGTATATCAGCTTTATGTACAAATATGTCCCCACTTTTTTAGATTTCCTTCCCATTTAGGTCACCCTGAGTATAGAGTTCCCTGTGCTATACGGCAGGTTCTCATTGATTACCTATTTTATACATAGTATCAATAGTGTATATATGTCAATCCCAATCTCTCAAGTCATCCCACCAACACCCCTTCCTCCCTTGGCATCTGTACGTTAAGCCACCCCGTTTGTGGTGCTCCACTATGGCAGCCCTGGGAAGCTGACACGGACGCCCTGCTTTGGAGGGCAGCACACCTGGCTCTAGAGCCTTCTGCGCCCCCCCACCCCCGCCCCACGTCAGGCCAGGCTCCTCGGGCTACCTGTGCTTCCGCAGGGAGGCCACACAATCCGCCTCTGTTCCCTCTGCCAGGGACACCCACCCCTCCCCGCCCCACTCGACTAATGCCTGCTCAGGCTGCAGGACCCAGTTCAAACACTGCGTTCTCCTGGCAGCCCTTCCTGACCGCCCTGCACTGGGCCCTTGTCACAGCATAACTGTCTGTTCGCTCATGGGTCTTCCCTTTGAGACAGGGAGCTCAAAAAGGCAGTTATGGAGGGTGTCTTGTCATCACTGTCCCTCAACAAGATGGCTGGCACCTAGCATGTGCTCAATAAACCAGGCCCCAAGAGAATGATACAGTAAACCCTAAGGAACTGATTTCTGAGAACTTCTCCCTGTGACTCAGGGAAACACAGGCAGATGAACAGAAAGTGGTACTAAATGCTGGACAGGGCACAAGCCAGCCACATGTCCTGCTCTGAGGTCCTTACAACCTGGCCACCAGCCCCAGAGCCTCTTGCAAACCAGGATCAGAGACCAGCTGCTGGGACACTGTCCACCCAGGATCAGAAGTAGGAAGGACCAGGATGGTCGGGAGAGTGTCTCACCTGAAGCACCTTTCTGAGTTTGCTGAAAAATGGTTCATCCCTCCGTCAGAGAGACACACTCTCACCCCAAAACCATCTGATCTAATTGGCATCGAATGCTTGAAGCCCATCTCAGCCAATTAAACAAGCTTCAGTCCATCTCAGGCTTTTCATTTTAATTGCTTGTCATATGTGGATCCCTAAACAAAATCCCATCGCTCGCTAGCTCCTGGGCCCAGAAGTGTGGTTACAATGTACCACAGTGCAGAGGATCTTCCTTCCAGGGACCCCCTCTCCCACAATGCATACAGCTCCCCACCCCCAAACTACTGGGGTTGCTTAGAAACTTACAACCACATCAGCAAGGGAAACAGTCCATGGTTCTCCGACAATCAAGCCTTGACCCCCATCATTTTATCCTGCAGAGCTGTGGTCCCTGTGCAGACCCGAAGGTCCCACACACACCTTTTGGTATTGACACCTAAGTGGATCCCTTCCCTCAGATTTTTTTCCCCAAAAGCCTGCAGCATTCAAGGAAACTGTGAAGCCTCTGGTGGTGAGGCACCCACGTCAGGAAGTGCTGCGACTCTGGATCTTTATCCCTCTCAACTTGCTCTGAACTCCAAAGAGGAAAGGAGACCCAGCTCCACTGGCCCACGTGTCCTCACCTCCCTGTGCCCTGACCCCGCCGCTCCCACAAGCCACACCACCCGGTGGGGTAAGGGGCTGCCCCAATGCAAGTTACTCCTCCTGCAAGCAGTGGAGGGCCTCCCCACGCACCACAGCCCAGGGAGGTCTGGGGCCCCTAGTCATGGACATGGGCAGTTCTGCAGCCGTGGCACTGCCTGTCAATTCAGGTCAGGTCTTGCTGACAGATGAGAAGTGGGGGAAAAAAAAAATCAGTTTTCAGAGACTTTAGATTTGAGAACAGCACGTAAGGGACTGTGGACCTGAAAACTAAGCAGCAAGGAGTGCTGAGTGGAAGCAGGGATGACAGGGATGGTGACAGCAGTGCAGGTGGGTACTTGCAAGTTCCTGTCATCCTGCTCTTCATTTTACATATGATATTACCTAATTTCCCAATAATAACCCTATGAGAGATGCCATTTTTCAGATGAGGAAACTGGAGCTAGAGGTTAAGAGACCGGCTCAAGGTCACGGAGCCAGCAGAGGATGTGCGTCTAAACACTAAAACCACATCTAAACACTATAAACCACAGCGATGCACAGGCCAAGTAGGACAAGAGACCCCAGAGTTCATGGGAACTGACCACACGCCCTGGAAGGGGCCCATAGCTAGTGCCTTGATGCCCTTAGTAGGACAGGTGCCAACAGGAGGTGCAGAGAAGCACATCAATTTCCAGAGAAATGGAGACCAGGAAGGTTTCTCCCTCTCTTCACAGCCTGGAAGACTCTCTGGTAAAGAGCACACATCCTGTTAGCAACCCACTCCTCAAATCCCTGAAACATGGGCCAAGGGGTGGGCGATTCAAAGCCTCGAGTCAGGTACAGAGAAGGCAGCCCATGGTTCAGGCTCCAAGGACAAAACCAGAGGTGAAGGGTTCACACTCTGACCCTGGAGCAGGAGAGTCTAAGGACTACTTTCTTTGGTGAAGGACTGAGATAAAGAAAAAATTTCAGGAGTCCAAACATGGCTCTTGCCTCCCACTCAGGAGCGTCAGGTATACATAGCAGCTGAGCACCTCTGGCCTCTCTGGCCACTCAAAATTAAGAGAGTTGGGTCGATCCGGCCACAGTCACAAAGCTCGTACTTGACTGTGAAACAAGCCCACCTTCCTGTGCTTTCCAAAGGTCATTCTCATCTGAAGAGGCACTTTTCCAAACGATGAAAAAAAACAAATCCGCCCAGATCTCGATGGCAGCTGAGACATCCTGGAAAATGACAAAACCAATGGCAGACAATGCCTTGAAGGAAGAGGTATAAGGGTGGCTGTTTCCAAAGACCTTGTTTCAGGGCCCTCTCTGCCAGGTTGCCAAACAAGCTAGAAAAGCTGCTGCTGCCTGCAGCTTCGCGGGCCAGCTTGCTGGTCAGGAGTCAACTGAGCAACACTTGTAATGCAGGATCCTCCTAAAGACCACTGAGAAAATCAACAGGTAAGAAAGACATCGAAGGGTCTCTATTAGGGAAGGTGAACAAGCCTCGATTTGGCTTCTGTCCTAACCTCTTTTCGGTGACATCTAAAGGTTCACAAACTAATACTCAATTCTGCTCTATCCTACCTGTGCATCTATTCATTCAAGTAACCCAGAATGCCCCTTTGTTAGTTTCAGCCTGAAATGTTCTTCTCAGCGAAAGGGAATGACGGCATCCACTGACTTCACATACAAACCAGCCTCCCAAACCCCAAAGCCGTTTGTTGATTTTATCAGCCCAGAACTCATATCCTCAGCTCCATCTGGTTAGGAAAACTGAGTCCACACACCCATACACACAAATCTTAGTATTCCAACACTTCTCCTCCATCAGTATCTCACAAGTATCGTCATTAAAAGGAGTACTATTATTATTATTATTATTTTTTGCGGTACACGGGCCTCTCACGGTTGTGGCCTCTCCGGTTGTGGAGCACAGGCTCCGGATGCGCAGGGTCCGCAGCCATGGTTCACGCGCCCAGCGGCTCTGCGGCACGTGGGATATTCCCGGATCGGGTCACGAACCCATGTCCCCTGCATCGGCAGGCAGACTCTCAACCACTGCGCCACCAGGGAAGCCCAAAAGGAGTACTATTGATAAATTTTTTTTTTAATAAAATTTAAAAAAGGAATACTACTGGGCTTCCCTGGTGGCACAGTAGTTAAGAATCCACCTGCCAACGCAGGGGACACAGGTTCGAGCCCTGATCCAGGAAGATCCCACATGCCGTGGAGCAACTAAGCCTGTGCACCACCTACTACTGAGCCTGCGCTCTAGAGCCTGTGAGCCACAACTACTGAGCCCGAGTGCCACAACTACTGAAGCCCACACGCCTAGAGCCCGTGCTCCACAACAAGAGAAGCCACCCAATGAGAAGCCCGTGCACCGCAACGAAGAGTAGCTCCTGCTTGCTGCAACTAGAGATAGAGAAAAGCCCGTGAGCGGAAACGAAGATCCAACGCGGAAAAAAATAAAAATTAAAAAAAAAATAAGGAATACTATTAAGGTAGTTCATTTCATTCCACAAATATTTACTAAGTGCCTCCTATCAGATCCTATTCTCCAGAATATTCATGGGCAGAACCTTCAATCCCTTATTTCTAAAATACTGGAATTAACATTACTTGGATTAACCTGAATTAGTGAAAAGATATCCCATGTTCATGGACTGAAAGATAATATTGTTAAAGGAAACAACAGAGAAGTTTCCACTAAAGTGGAAACAAAGTGGTCCACAAATTCAATGCAACCCTGACGAAAGTCACAGCTGGCTCATCTGCAGAAATTGAAAGGCTGATCCTAAAATTCATGTGGAGGGAATTCCCTAGTGGTCCAGTGGTTAGGACTGCACACTTCTATTGCAGGGGGCCTGGGTTCAATCCCTG